CGAGTGAACTTCCCTGCAGTCCTGTTTATATGGGTGTAGTTAGAACTGCTTTGGCGATGGTGGCCCGCCTCTGTTGAGGTGGAGTCTCTTTGCTGTGGTGGGTTGCCTTGGCAACGGCGGGCTGCCTCAGCAATGGCGGGTGGCCTTGGCAACGGCGGGCTGCCTCGGTAATGGCGGGTTGCCTTGGCAACAGCGGGCTGCCTCAGCAATGGCGGGTTGCCTTGGCAACGGCGGGCTGCCTCGGTAATGGTGGACGCCCCTCCCCCACAGAGCTGGACTGTCCCGGGTTCAGCTGCGCTTGCTGTGAAACTCGCAATCCAGTTTCTGGTTGCTGTTCTTTTCTGGGGGTGGGGCCAGCCGAGCCTGATCGCCTGGCTCCCTGCCTCAGAGCCTTTTTTAAGTTGGTGTTCCAGTCGCCTGTTGAAGAGGCGCCGGGGTCTGTTTGTTTTCCCCTTCGGCCACTCATTGTGCTGGCTTAAACAGCGGCACTGAGGTTTGTGACGCTTTTTTTTGTTTGTTTGTTTTGCCCTGGAATCTACTGTCCTGGTTCTCTGCTCAGTCCCCTTTTTGAACTGGCGAATGGGCGACTTCCCGTGGCTCCAATCACCAGCCAAAAGGGCACCCGCACCGGTGTATTTTGTATGGAGAACCGGGGCTCCGGGGCGCCGACAAAGCAGCTGCGCGGGGCAAAGCAGCAAGCAGCGGCGCTGGCCGGCACGGCTGCGCTGGCCGAAACAGCCGCGCTGGCGACTGTGGAGCTCCTCTGCCCGGGAATTTCCTAGTCTGTGGGCAATAAAAACGCGGCGTCCACTCACCCTCTGTGCTTTCACTGGGAGCTGCAATCCTGAGCTGTTCCTAAACGGCCATCTTCGCAAACATGTTTTTAAACATTGTGCAGTAGGTCTCCGAGATGAATGAAGGATCCCTTTGAAGAATTTGTAACTTCTTTATGAGGCTATTAAAATGGCATACTTCAAAAACAAAGTGTGTACCAGTCAAATCAGTGCTATGTGTAATACTCCATGTTTCTATTTTTTTTCTGGAAAAGCTGTGAAGAAAAAGAAGTAAATTAGGTAATTTATGGCAAGAAAGGCAGCACTGTTTGTATTTGAGAGCCATGATTTGATGCTACTAATTTTGCAGTAAGATCTGTCAAGATTAGGCAAACATTTGATTATTAGATTTTATATATTTCTGGGCTTTTAAATGAATTTAATAATTGAGTTATTAACTTTTAAAATTATTGTTAGCTTAATACCCATTATCATCATCTTCTTCTTATTTTGAGATGGAGTCTTGCTCTGTTGCTCTTATTGCCCAGGCTGGAGTGTAATCTCGGCTAACTGTAACCTCTGCCTCCTGAGTTCAAGCAATTCTCCTGCCTCAGCCTCCCATGTAGCTGGGATTACAGGTGTGTGCCACCACACCCAGCTAATTTTTGTATTTTTAGTAGAGATGGGGTTTCGCCTTGTTGGTCAGGCTGGTCTCAAATTCCTGACCTCACACTCTGCCCACCTCGGCTCCCAAAGTGCTGGGATTACAGGCGTGAGCCACCGTGCCCTGTGAACCCCTCTTATTTTTTAAATATTATGATGCCTTTTAAATTCAAGTGCAGCTTAATGAAATATTGATAGCTACAGGATGTTAAAGTATAAGTCTGACCTACTAAATTTATTTAGTGAAACTTCCAGGCAAAGGCATTTGACTTTAAGACACTTGAATGCAGACTAGGGTTTGTGCTGTCTTCATGTCCACCCTCGGTAGTGCCCAGAACCTGGGATCTATTCACTCGACAGGTACCAATTTGAACTGTGACTTGCTGTTACCAACATAAAGCAAAGGATTCAATTCTTTGTATAAGAAAGTAGATGTAAATCTAGAGAAAAAATGGTTTCTTGAAAAGACTCATCAGCACATAGATTTCAGAGGCTAAGGTCTGACAAATAGTATTTAAAATTTGTTGTTGTGTTATTCTCAAAATGCAACATGTAAACATTAAAGATGAAGAGAAGCCTCTCCTGAGATGTTACATACTTGTCTGTCTGGTCAGTTTTTCTAAAGTCTGTGAGTCTTTAGATAATATAGTTAAATGAGAATTGACTAAATTTCCCAAATATTGTCATCCTTGAGTTAAAAATTTTCAGTTATGAAGATAAATGAATCTTACATGTGAAGTTTCTTTCATGTTGCAAATTTTACTTTTTATTTTTTGGGACGGATTCTCGCCCTGTCACCCAGGCTGGAGTGCACTGGTGCAAGCTCAGCTCACTGCAACCTCTGCCTCCCGGGTTCAAGTGATTCTTCTGCCTCAGGCTCCCGCGTGGCTGGGATTACAGGCATGTGCCACCACACCGGGCTACTTTTTGTATTTTTAGTAGAGAGGGGGTTTCACCATGTTGGCCAGGCTGGTCTCAAACTTCTGACCTCAGGCGATCTGCCTGCCTTGGCCTCTCAAAGTGCTGGGATTACAGGCGTGAGCCATTGTGCCCAGCCAATTTTTCATTTAAAATGTATTTGTTACCATGCTTTTTGACACTTGGTGCTTCTTGTCTCAAAAATTGTCAATTGTTAGAAAAACATTTCTTAGTTCATTTAATTTTTGTATTGGTTGTGCATGACTCTTACTAAAGGTGGTCATTTCAAAGCCAATCGTAATTTATTTTTGGTGTTTGGAAAATGGTCTGTCAGCATTTCTATTATAAATCTCTATTTTCTTTCTCATTTTGTTCTTTTCCTTCTGAGTTTATGACAGAGCCATAAACCTTGGCCTAGATTAAAACTTGGCCTATTAGAGCTCAGTCTAAGATTTTTTTTCAGTTTAGTTCCCAAATTTGTTTAAAATTGTTTCAGATGTTTAGGTTGCATATGCAAAATATAATTTTGGAGTTTTCAATGCTTTCTAAATTATAACTTAAAAAATAACATGCTAATTTTAAGATAATGGTAAAGATAATTCTTTTAACTTTAGCTAACCAACTTTCTCATATTTTCAAGAGAATTATTTCAGAAAATGATATGATGTTATTTGGTGTGATCTTGTAATTTTGCTTCCTTTCTTCTGTTTCCATTTTGTAATGGAAGAGTTTCTAACCTTTTGCATATATAAAGCTGTTCTCTGTTAAGGGGTTAAATGCATGTAAATCTCTTAGCATGTGCTAAGTCCATTAAATGAAAGCTATTTTTCTTATTTTTGAAATATAAATTTATGCAGGCTGATGGGTACTATTTTAAAAAACTCTTAAGTTCCACATGCAACTACTGTCACACAATTCTTGTTCCTGTGACTTTTAGGGATGGATGCACAAGAATTTCTGCACCTGCAGCAGCAGATCAGAAGCTGAGTTAGATATGGTTTCAGTTTTCACAGAAATTACGAGGCAGAAGGGCGTAGTCATGGGTGAAATAACATATGCACAAGGCTGACTGTTCTAAGCGCCATAAAATGACGTGAAATCACTGCCAGAGCGTAGGGATGGAACCAGCCATCCTCCCCTAGTGTATTAGAGAAGGCTGCATCTAAACTGGAATTGTCCATTCTCACATATTGTTAGGTAAAACTTTTGGTTTTCTGAGGAGTTTGAAGGTGCATAAAATGGAGAAATAGAAAGGTTGCATCAACTTGTTTAGCGTCCCATGTAGTCAGCAAGTTTGGACTGAAAACTGCGTGGTTTCCTAGTCTCCCCATGACAGGCTGTGTTCCCACAGGTAGAGTGACGCATATTTAAAATCCTGCAGGCAGGCTGGTGTGCGTGAGTTCCTCCATGCGGAGTCTCAGTCTGTTGGGGCTGCTTTAACGGGACATTGACAAGCAACAGAAATGTATTGCTCACAGTTCTGGAGGCTGGCGAGTGTGAGATCAAGGCACTGGCAGATGAGTGTCTTGTGAGAGCTTTCTGGTTGACAGGCGGGGCCTTCCTGCTGTATACTCATGTGGTGGAAGGAAGGGAAGACACGCTCCCTGAAACCTCCCTCACAAGGGCATTCAGCCCATTCATGCAGGCTCCACTCTCAGGACTGAATCACCTCTCAATGCCATTGCAATGGGGATTTCAACTGATGAATTCTGTGGGAGACCAATGTCCAGACCGTGGCGCCGAGTCACCCCAGGTGCTTGCCAGAGTCTGTGCTGTGGAATTTTTTGAGTGTCAGGGCTGGGAGCTAACATTTACCGAGTCTCTGGAATGCATTGGCGTTTCCCTGTGTGTTCTCACAGGCTCAGTGAGAACATCTGATGGATGAGGATGCAGAGTGCAGGGTCTTCCTCCTCCCTCTGCATGGGCTGTGAGCTGGGAGTTGGACTCCATGGCTGCCTGGTTCCTCTGTCTGGATGCCATTTTTCCTCCCTCTTCACCATCTAAATGTCACGTTATCTCAAGTGAACCCAGCATTTTGACCAGGGCAACCCACTCCCAACACTTCACACCACACCCCATGCTGTGGCCGCACCTGCCTGAGCATCGGGGTGGCTTTACGTGCACACCCCCATGGGAGGAGGACAGAGATGCTGGGCCTGGGGACAGCAGGCACAGTGGATGCTGCTCAAACACATAAATAACCTCCACAGTCGGACGCGTGTTACTCATCTCTTCCTCTAGTGCTGGGTTCATTTTGGCTTCTTTGGCTATTTTATTTCAATAATCGAGGAGACTTGATGAGCCAGATGAGGCTGTGCTTACATTTAGCTTCATTCTGGCTTTTGAAATATGTTGTGTTGGAAGCATCATCATAGATTTTTTTTTTCAAGCTGTGGAAAAGCATTGACTTGGAGAATGAAGATATAGGAAGTGAATTCACAGTGAAATAAAGGTTTGTTTTAAAATAGGTTTTTGTATTTCGTTGGCTTAATTATAATACATTTATTTTCAAGACTTAAAGCCTGTGGCGCCTTCTTGTGCCTTGACCTTGTTAGTGTCCTTGGTGACACGTTGGACCTGGCCTCAGGCTGGGGGCCTATGTGAAGCCCAGGTTGCTGGGCTGGGCCATTCTCTCACACCCCGGTCAGCTTCTGTGGTGACCTGGATATGCTGTGTTTTCCCATAGTGCGGTCACAGGAGTGCGTCTGGGCCAGCTCCTATGTGACATACATGATCTACCTGCCAGGAAGAGGCAGGGTCTGTCCCCACACCACAGCAGCGTGAACGTGGGCACAGGGCATCCTCATCACCCTGGAGCCCCAGACAGAGCGGGGGTACCGGGTGTGAGATCTGAGCAGGCCCTGCTGGCACCCAAGCTCTGACCCCACAGAGCAGCTGAGGCTCCACACTGGCTTCCCAGCTGCACCCACCTGATGATGAGCCTAGCGAACGGGGCTGACTCTGAGACACAGAATTGACTCCATTGGGCCTGGTCCTTGGCACCACAGCCTACGGGGCTCTTGGAAGCCAGAGCTGAGCATCTGCCAGCTGCACTCTGTGCTCCTGCTCTGTGGCCTGGGTCATAGGCAAACCCCCGCAACAGACTGTGTCCAGGCTGTCTCCACCACCTCCCCAGGAGGCCTCCCTGGCCTCCCAGTAGTTGAGTTTGGCCCCTTACTTGGTCTCGTGTCTACACTGCTGTTCCAGGGCTCATCAGTGCAGTCAGAATGACGTGATTAATCCTCTCCTGTGAGATTCTCACCTTGATGACAGAGCCATCTCTTGTTTGCATACAGTAGGTGTTCAAAAATTGCTTGCTTAGTCCGTGCTCGATCCTGGCAGGTTTTTTTTTTTTTTTTTTTTTGAGACGGAGTTTCCCTCTTGTTACCCAGGCTGGAGTGCAGTGGTGCGATCTCGGCTCACCACAACCTCCACCTCCTGGGTTCAGGCAATTCTCCTGCATCAGCCTCCCAAGTAGCAGGGACTACAGGCATGCGCCACCATGCCCAGCTAATTTTTTGTATTTTTAGTAGAGATGGGGTTTCACCATGTTGACCAGGATGGTCTCGATCTCTTGACCTCGTGATCTACCCGCCTCGGCCTCCCAAAGTGCTGGGATTACAGGCGTGAGCCACCGCGCCCAGCTGATCCTGGCAGTTTTGAGGGATCTGTTGAAGTTACAACCATTGGAGCTGCTTTTCATTCTTAGTTGAGCCATTGCTTACCAATGAGAGCTCCACAAACTGCTGGTGGTGCCGGGACTCCAGAACTCAGCCTTTGGCTTTCCATAGTGTGACATAAGAGAAGCAGCTTCATGTGTGTTTATTCCAGATGCCAAGTGAAGTCTTGAACTAGAGTTTCATCTTGCCCCAGCAATCAGAAGATGCTGGCGAGGATGTGGAGACAAGGGAACACTTATACACTGTGAGTGGGAATCTAACTTAATACAAATTAGAACTAAGTTTTCTACAGAAACAGTATGCAGATTTCTGAAAGAACCAAAAATAGAACTACCATTAGATCCAGAAATCCCACCACAGGCATCTACTCACAGGAAAAGAGATCATTGCATGAAAAGGACACCTGCACTGTTGTGTGTTTATTGCAGCATGATTCACATTCGTGATGTCATAGAATCAAACTGTCTGTCAACAGATGATTGGATAAAGAACACATGATACAAACACACAGTGGAACACTACTTAGCAGTGGAAAGAATGGGATCAGGTCCCATGCAGCTCCAGTGATCGGAACTGGAGGCCATTATCTTAGGTGAAACCACTCAGAAACAGAAAGCCAAATACCACACGTTCTCACTTATAAGGGGGCTCAGTAATGTGCACAAGTGGACATGGTAAATGGAATCAAAGATGCTGGAGACCTGGAGGGTGGGAGGGGGTGAGGGATGAGAAATCATTTAATGGATACAATGTACAATATTGGGGTGGTGGTTACACTAAAGCCAAGACTTCACACTACACAGTATGTCTGTTGACAAAACGATTCAAATCTGTAAAATATTGGAAGAGATTTATTCTGAGGCAGACATGAGTGACCATGGCTCGTGACATAGCCTTCAGGAGGTCCTCAGAACATGTACCCAAGGTGGTTGGGGTGCAGCTTGGTTTTGTACATTTTAGGGAGGCAGGAGACATCAGTCAAATACATTTAAGAAATACGTTGGTTTGATCCAGAAAGGTGGGAAAACTCAAAGCAGGTGTGTGGGTAGTGGGGCGCTTCCAGGCTATTGGTAAATGTAAACATTTTCTGGTTGACAATTGGTTGAGTTTGTCTAAAGACCTAGGTTCAATAGAAAGGAAATGTTCAGGTTAAGATAAAAGATGGTGGAGACCAAGGTTCTTTTGAAGTCTTACAGTGGCTACTCTTAGAGGTAATAGATGACAAATGTTTCCTATTTAGATCTTTAAAAGGTGCTAGACTCTTCATCTGTTTAGTATTGGGAGGAGCTGGAAGAAAGATATCTAGCTATGTTAATGGAGATTCTTTACAGATGCACATTTTCCCCCACAAAGGACAGCTTGGCAGGGCCATTTCAAGATATGACAAAAAAAACATGTTTTGGGGTATGCGTGTGTGCATGTGTGTGTGCATGTATATGCATGTGTGTGCATATGTATATGCATGAGTGCATGTGGGTACGTATATGTGTGCATGCATGTATGTATGTCTATGCGTGAATGTGTGCGTATGTATAACTGCATGCATGTGGGTATGTATGTGTACATGCATGAATGTGTGGGTATGTGTATGTGTGCATTAATGTGTGTATATGCATGAATGCATGTGTGATGCATATGTGTGAATGTGTGTGCATATGTATGCGCTTTTAAAGTATTCATTAAAGTGCCTATTAATTAATTTATTTAAAATATGTATTAGCTGATACTCTGTGCTTGGCAGTGTTCCGCGAATGAAGTTAGATGAATGAAGAGAGGGCAAAGTCCTTATGCTTGAGGAATGTATTTTCTTACAAAGGAACACATGTATTACACAAGGTCAGGTGCTCTGTGTTGATCAGGTCACTGGAGCAGCCGGTTCATGACACTGGGAAGGGAGCCAGGCCAATGTCTGGAGGAGCTCAGCACAGGAGGTAGGCTGTGTGGTGAAGCCGATGGAGGAGTGGACCTCAAGGCCCTTGTTAACTCAAAATATCTAAGACAGGTCTCAGTCAGTTTAGAAAGTTTGTTTCACCAAGGTTAAGGATGCACCCATGACATAATGTCAGGAGGTCCTGACGATGGTGGTCGGGGCACAGCGTGGTTTTATACATTTTAGGGAGAGATGAGATATCAATCAACATGTATCTTGGTTCAGTCAGGTAAATCAGGACAACTTGGGGCGAGGGCTTCCAGGTCATAAGCAGATAAGAGGCAAAAGGTTCATTCTTATGAGTCCTTGATCGCGTGTCTACTGAAGACACAATTTAGTCTGGCTAAGTGAATCTGCATTTTTACATGAACAATAGGGGAGAGCAAGCAATCAGATATACATTTGTCTCAGGGGAGCCTCAGAGGGATGACTTTGAGTTCTGTCTGTCCTTTGTCCACAGGGAATTTCCTTGTGACCAAATTTTAAGGGAGTTCTGTACCTTATCTTTGTAACCATCTTATTTAGGAATAGAATGGGAGGCTGGTTTGCCTGAGGCAGTTCCCAGCTTGACTTTTCCCGTGGCTTAGTGATTAGAGGGTCCCAAGGTTCATTTTATTTTCACATGAACATCTGGACAAACTGAGTCCCTGAGACAGCATCCTTGCAGTTAAGGTGTGCCCTAAAAGGGTGAGGACTAAGCTCTGATTAAGGGGTCTGGGGAGTGCAAGGTTCTTTAAACAGACTGCACCATGTACTATGCCATGGTGACCCCTGTGACCCACATGTGCACCTCCAGATGGACTCCGAGAGCCAGAAAGTCTGAGTCAACCTTGTGACATTGGACCCTGCACAATGATTAACCGACCTTGCAACATTTTGCTGTTGTTCCTGCCTCAACCGTTCCTGCCTCATCCGTTCCTGCCTCAACTGATAAGCCAACTTAGTGACACTGGACCTTAGACCTAGTGACAGCCCTGCCTCCTGGCAACACCTCCCCAGCTTGCAAAAACCACCCTGAATTATAACTTCTGTAACTTTCCACTGCCTACCCCAAACATATAAAACCAACTCCTAGCCCACTGCCTTCTGCTGATTCTCTTTTCTGACTCAGCCTGCCTGCACCCAGGTGAATAAACAGCCATGTTGTTCACACAAAGCCTGTTTAGGGGGTCTCTTCATTCAGAGTGCACTTAACATTTGGTCCCGAAACCCAGGACAGGGGTACTCTTTTGGGAGACTGACCCTCTATCCCTCTATCCCTGCTCTTTGTCTGTGAAGAAACCTGCCTGCGACCTCAGTGCATCAGACCAGCCCAACAACCCTCTCACCACCTTCACATAGGGTAAGTGGTCTCTCTTTTTTCCTTTAAATCCTTCTCCTTCTAAGTAGAGAAAAGGAGACAAGTCTCCCTCCCCCTTTCCCTTTAAATCACAAGGAGACAAGTCTCCCTCTCTTTCTTTTCCCTTAAATCCCAAGGAGTCAAGTCTAGGAGACAAGTCTCTCTCTCTCTCTCTCTCTCTCTCTCTCTCTCTCCGCCCCCCTACAAGTCTCTCCCTCTCTCCCCATTTTCCTTTAAATCCTTCTCCTTTTAAGTAGAGGCAAAGGAGACACCCTTTATGCATGCACTTAAAAACTCCAGCATTGCTCACAGACTTGACTAGAGAAGACAGTCTTACCTTGCTGCCTGGTCAAGCGCAGGGATACCTGCCTTCATCACTCGCCCACGTTACAGCCCAGGACGTGCACTACAAACAACAGTTCTCATCAGATGGGTTTTATTTAACCCTATTTGTCGTGACTTGCTTTCCAAACTGACTCTGGCATAAGTTATGACAAGGAAGAAAATAAAAATATTTTATCCCAAAACGTATTTCTTTGCCGTATCTTGAAATGGCCCTGCAAAGCTGTCCTTTGTCGGGGAAGGTGTGCATCTGTGAAGAATCTCCATTAACATAGCTAGATCTCTTTCTTCCAGCCCCTCCCTAAACTAAACAGATCAAGAGTCTAGCACCCTTTAAATATCTGAATAGGAAACATTTGTCATCTATTATCTCTAAGGGCAGACACCATAAGATTAAAAAGAACCTTGGTCTCCACCATCTTTTAGCTTAACCTGAACATTTCGTTTCTATTGAACCCAGGTCTTGAGATAAACTCAACCAATTGTCAACCAGAAAATGTTTAAATTTACCTGTAGCCTGGAAGCCCCACTTTGAGTTTTTCTGCCTTTCTGGACCAAACCAATGTATTTCTTAGATATATTTGATTGATGTCTCATGCCTCCCTAAAATGTATACAACCAAGCTGTGCCCTGACCGCTTTGGGCACATGTTCTGAGGACCTCCTGAGGGCTGTGTCATGGGCCATGGTCACTCACGTCTGGCTCAGAATAAATCTCTTCAAATATTTTACAGAGTTTTACACTTTTTGTTAACAAGAGGTGCATAGGATGTTTCATGCCAAGTGCTATGGTGAAGACTGTTTTTACGAATTGGCTCTGTGAAGAGCCGCGTTGTGTAGGTGTGCCTCGCATTATTTCTGGAATGACATAGTGACCGTCTAATTTCCCAATTTAAGGAGAGTTTCTCTCTTTTAAAATCTTAGCTTTTTGTTAAGAGGTTTAGTGTCTTTGCTTTAGGAAACTGCAAAATATCTGCATTTTGTAACAGCTTGAGCAATGCCTATACAGTAGCTTGAATCTTCCTCAAATCTCTGTGGTCTTTCAGTAAGGATTGTAATATTTTGTGAATCATTGTGGTGTACTCTTGGATGAGAGGTGTTATATTAAGAAAAATAGTTCTGAGGCTTTTTATGGGAAAATTATGGGTTTTACTTCCTGAAAATAAACATCTGAATGGTATTCAATGGAATGAAAGGAAAGAGTGTAAGGTTACAGAGGTTTACACTATGTTTTAATAGCTTTTTAAAAAATACTTTCTCTTACATTTTTGTTCAGTTGCACAATGTATATCAAACTAACCACAGCCATGTGGGGGCTGCTACTCACAAACTGTCATCCTGCAAGTCCAAATACAGAAGAAGCAAAAACTATAATTGGCCCAAATGCTGTATTTCCAGTAAAATATAAAATAGGGCATTTCTAATTTCTGCTAAGCTTAGTAACCAGCACAGCCACATTAGTCATGCATCAATAATGACTTTTTTTTGCAGTCATCCTCGTGCACTACCATTAAAATGATCTCTTCTGAGAATTACTCCTATAGTTATCTTAATTTTGTTAAACAGAATTTTTATTTCATTTTAGTGTAGTATTAACAAGAGTGCCAAATACATCAAAAGGCGATGGCCATATTTTCCTGTTTTATGTGTTATGTTAGTAAATGGCTCATTTAAAAAATGAAAATAAGTGTTTTATGATTTATTGATATCCTTAAATCATAGCAGGTGTAGATACTTTACATATTTCTAAAACTTGACAGGATACTACTATTTTTGCCTGACTGACTAAAATATGTACTATTTTGTGATGTAAATATATAATACTAGACAGCTAATTTGAACTATGAACAAGAATGTATAAAAGTTTAAACAGCTTTTTTAATGACATAATTTGATTACATATGATTTTAGATTTCAGGAATAATCACTTATGTTATTTTGCTTTATTGGTTTTAGATCTTGCTGTATTTTTAAAAAAGAAATGATTTTTGATACAAAGAAAACCCTACCCACATCCCTCCTTTTTCTTCTTCTCTGATAACCACTACTGAATTTGGTGTGGGTCTTTCCCTAGTACCCATTCAAAAACAATAATATAGGAGTTAAGAAGACATTACTGATAGTGAGGGTATGGGAATCCTCGGCAAGGTTTTCCTTTTAACGAAAAGCAGCCCCCAAATCATTTTCTTTTCTAACAAAGAGCAGGCTGTAAAATCGAGCTGCAGACATAGACAAACAAGCTAGAAGCTCACACCAGTGAATGCCAGCAGTTGTGCCAGTAGGAAAAGGCTACCTCGGAATAGGCACGTTCAAAATTATTGCTCCATCTTCCCTCTTCTACCAGCCACGTGTACTGTGTGGAGCAGACAAGATGGGGCTGGCCAAGTAGAAAGTCCATTTGCATAATAAGATTGGGGTGGGGCGGCAGGGCACAGTGGCTCACGTCTGTAGGAGTTCAAGACTAGCCCTGCCAACATGATGAAATCCCGTTTCTACTAAAAATATAAAAATTAGCTGGACGTGGTGGTGTGCCCCTGTAATCCAGCTACTTGGGAGGCCGAGGCAGGAGAATTGCTTGAAACCAGGAGGAGAAGTTTGCAGTGAGCCGAGATTGTACCATTGCACTCCAGCCTGAACAAGAGTGAAACTGTCTAAAAAAAAAAAGGATTAAGGTTGTGCAACGAGCCCTTCCCTGCCCATCATGTAAATGTCACACTTGGTCGAACCAATCTGGGGGATCTATGTTTATCAGACACTGCCTCATCAAGCCTGCCTATAAATTCTCGCACAGTCCACCTCAGGCTGGCTGTTTCCTTTGGGAGGCCCCTCTCTTGAAAGAGAGAGAGAGCGCCGCTCTCCTTTCTTTTTATTTTGCTTATGAGCTCTCCACTCCTAAACTTGCTGCTCCTTTGTGTCTGTGTCTTTAGTCTTGGTGCTAGACAATGAACCCTGGATATTTATCCCAGGCAAGGATGCTGCTTCAGCAACTTTGTGCATTGTTGAGCATAGCTTTACACTCCTACACATGGTATCAAACACCACATCTCCCTGCTGCTTGATTTTTAATGCTGAAATTTGTACTTTACCAGTTTGGGTATGTACTATTTTTATTATCTTCCAGCACTAAACATTTTCTCATGTTTATTATGATGTTTTCTAACCCAAGCTTTAGATGTATGCTTTTAGATTTCCACGAGTTAATTTTTGGTCATCTTTTTTGTTTTGGTTTCTAATATGGCATTGTGTTCAGAGCATGTACTCTCCATATATAGTACTGATTTTCTTGGTATCTTTGAGATTTCTATCTATTGAGAAACTTGACATATGATTTGTTTTTAATATTACACAGGTATGTGAGAAAAGTGTGGTTTTGCTGACTATTGGGTACATGTTTGCACAGATATTCTTTGACTCACACTTGTTAATTGTGTTTAAATTGTTCAAGGCTTTCTATTGTTTGATTTTTTTAATTACTGAGAACTGTGTTAAAATCTGTCACTGTGGTTGTAATCTTATCAGTTTCTTTGTGTAAGTCTGTTGACTTTTGCTTTATTTATTTGAAGGACACATTATCAAGCATATTTAAGTCAGTCTTATATTTTCATGTGCAGTTATTTCTTTTATCATTTTCTTGAAGAAACTGTTTCTCATGAGGGTTTCTTTACCTTGTATCTGTTTTTCTCTAGTGCTTACATAATCTTACCTCTTTGTAGCTCACGTGTGCTGTTTGATCCCCACCTTTCAACTTTTTAAAAATTAAGTTTTCAGCATTTTTCTTAAAACCTAGCCTAAGTTTCGTATAGATGCTGAATATTAGACCTTTGTTAGATGCATAATTTGGAAATATTTTCTCCCATTCTGTAGGTTGTCTATTTACCCTGTTTATACTTTCTTTTGCTGTGCAGAAGCCCTAAAGTTTAATTAGATCCCACTTGTCAATTTTTGCTTTTGTTGCGATTGCTTTTGATGTCTTTGTCATGAAATCTTTGCCAGTTCCTATGTCCGGGATGGTATTGCCTAGGTTGTCTTCAAGGGTTTTTATAGTTTTTGGTTTTTACATTTAAGTCTTTAATCCATCTTGAGTTGATTTTTGTGTATGGTGTAGGGAAGGGGTCCAATTTCAATCTTCTATACAAGGTTAGCCAGTTATCCCAGCACCATTTATTGAACAGGGAGTCCATTCCCTATTGCTTGTTTTTGTCAGCCCTGTTGAAGATCAGATGGTTATAGGTATGTGGCTTTATTATCAATACTATGCTATTTTGAGCTAAATGATGAGAACTTATGAACCAAAGAAGGGAACAACAGACACTGAGGTCTGCTTGAGGCTGGGGGATGGGAGCAGGGAAAGGAGCAGGAAAAATAGTTATTGGTACCAGGCTTAGTATCTGGGTGGTGACATAATCTGTACAACAAACCCCGGTGACACAAGTTTACCTATATAACAAACCTGCACATGGATCCCTGAACCTAAAAGTGAAATAATAACAATAATGATAATAATGAAACCCAGCCTAATATTGTTGAGTTTAGTCTGTTTGAAATTATGATTATTCATATATTCAATATCATTTGTGCTTTCTCTTACGCATTTTTTATTTCTTTGCTTTCTACTTGTCATGAATTTTATTTTTGGTTCTTTATTTCTTCTTTCTCACCCTC